GGGGGGGGGGGGGGGGCACACACTTCACAGTGCAACGAGGGGCTTGGTGAGCGGAGGTCAGAGGAGGGCACAGCAAATAGATGGGGGGGTGAGGGGCAAGGAAATTACAAGATCAAGTCTATGAGAAAGGACACGGGGGAATCGAAGTAAGAGACAAAGGTCAAGACACAAAACTGCTGTAGTTCCCAGTGTCTACAATAGGAGGCGCAAGCAGACACAACACAGTAGCAGCAACTAGCAGCCCTGTACTGAGGAAAATTATAGGAGCCACGTTGCATTCCCTGGAAAAGACTTCCCGTGTGTTTTCTTTGGCAGAGCCCAGAACGTAAACAAGCTCACTTAACCTAATGTACGGTCTGTCAAAATATTTGAATACACTGAAGTAGATCTGAAGTAAAATCATTTCTGCAGCAAGTTGCATGCAGCAGAAAAACCCTGCGGGATGCACACAGGCGAGCTGGCAGAAAGATTGCAGGCCTCATATATAGCTCAATGATTTCACCTAGTTAAAACATTTTTTTGTAAATCAGTGCCGACAGCCACCGGCTTCACGCAGCGACACATGTACCGTCTGTGTAAGGGACTAGGCAGGAAGGGGCTGTGAATTGCTGAGTTTTGGTAAAGGGGGAGGTGAGCAACTCAGTAGGTTAGCCTGGATTCAGAAGGTTTCCGGCTCAAATCTCGTGGATAGCAGAGTCATTTCATATTGGCCCTTGAACAAGGCCCTTAACCCCCAATTGCTCCACTGGCTGACCCTGCGTTCTCAAAATGTAAGCTGCTTTGGATTAAAGCGTCTGCAAAATAAAAAATCATTTAAATGAACGAACATTGATGGTGTCTACATTGTTCCCCAGTAATGACGATACTGTCTTATGATGTAATTGTCATTAGCATCACGATGCACCTGGTGATGGTCCGTTCCCTTCTTAAAATGTCTTTACTCAGTCACAACCCAAGCAAACACCTGCTGCCAAGGTTTTTGTCATGTGCCGTCGGTAAATCAGTCATCAGCCTCCACCCGCAAGGACCCAGCAGCCCTGAAGCTAACAGCCCAGTCTGCCATTTACATGCTTCACTATGTGGGCTAAGGATGCCGACACGGGGCTGCCCACCGCCTCGCCGTACATTCCTGATACGGAGCTGTGTCAGCGTCCAACACCAGGCCAAACCTCCATCAACAGTCCGCCAAGACTCTTTCACAAGGTGCTTCAATTCCCGGCCTATTAGATTTTTCTGTTAACAATAATAAACTATTTACATTTCACAGTTATTTTTATTAAGCAGAAAATTCTGTCCAAAGAGACAGTGAGACAAACAGCACATTACAAACAGATGAGTTGTGGAGGAGGCTACCAGGCATAAAGGTGAGCTTATGATAAAGGCCCAGGGACAAGTCCAAGCAGAATATATTATAGATGATATTAAAATTAAAAGAGTGCAATAATGTTTTCATTTAACATTTCGGGCTTTCTCTGTTAATCAGTTGGGGTAAAAATACTTTGTTTAGCTGATGCTGGGGCTGAAATTGTGGTCATTAACTGCTGAAATACAGCCAGACCTTGGGTCTTGGGTCCCAAAGAAAAGCGTCCCAAAGAAAAGCGTCTGGTTCGGTCGTGAAAAGTGTTTCCACTGTTTGTCTGCTTTGTTTCTTATGTTGGAGGTTGAAGGCCTTTTTGAGTCTATTCTTTAGAAGTCAAAATAATGATAATTATATATACACACACACACACACGCATGTTGGCGTACCTATCTAAATGGGGACCTTCCATTCATTTCTATGGAAAAAACCCAAATCCCAGTTATGACACCCTTAAGCCATACCCAGCCCTAACCTTAACCAAAAGTAAATACAAAATAAAAATCAAAATACAAGACTTTTGGCCTTTTTTGATTGCATTCACAGGTTTTTTTTTTAAATTGAGGTTATCCAAATGGGGACCTGAAAAATGTCCCCAAAAGTAAGGAAGTTTCAGGTTTTACCACACTCGGACCATAAATGTGATCAATGCAAAGGCACACACACACACACACACACACACACACACACACAGAAAATGTTATGCATGTTCCCTTAATCTGAGGTTTATCTTTTAAGTCTGAAAATCATTCATGGCCTTTGCTAGCCTTTGTGGTTTGCTACTGCACCACTAGGGGGAAACACAGAACACACAAAGAGAGCAGGATCATCTCAGCAGTTCCATTTTTATGTTCTTTAATTTTTTATGTTGAGATGCCTGTTTTTCCATATTTCACTGTTTTGATGGGAAGTTGTCTTAAGCCAGATCTCAGCACATGCACTGAACTGAAGAGCCAGAGAATGGAGGCAGTGACTGACTTACTCTGATACTCTGTGTGTGTGTTTACTCCTGTATACTCAGCGCTCTGGTGTGTGTATGTACATATTTTGTTATACATGTCTGCTAACAGTTGACATCGGGAGGTGGACGAGGCGGGGCGAGGGAGGGGTGCGGTCTGGCTCTCATGGGGCCTCTCTGGGGCAGGCTGCAGTCTGGCCGCACCCTGCGGTATGAGCAGCAAAGTGGCTGTTAGACTGTCGGCCGGCAATTCCCCATGACAGCTCACTGTCCTCAGAGTCCTCCATAGCACACACACACACACACACACACACACACACACACCCACACACACGTTTGTATTCACATCTTTATGGGGACTCTCTATTTATTTCTTAGGTAAAACTCTAATCCCAACAATGACAACCTTGACCCTTACCCAGCCCTTACCTTGATCATATGTAACCAAACAAAATACAAGACTTTTCACAATTTTAGTTTTTTTTTATTGCAGTCACAGATTTGTATAAAGTTGAGTTTCCCCTTGGAGGGACTGAATGAATGGTCAGCCCAATGTGGAAATAATAGGTTTTTATCACATTGTGGGGACATTTGGGCCACACACACACACACACATATACACACGTGCAAAAGCAATGGGTTTGTACTTGTTAAGACATGCCCACATGAGGCTGACTTAATGCAGGGTCTGCAATTCAGAAGCATTTAAATTGGCAGAGGTGATTCTGTAGACCATCTCGCTGCATTGCTGACTCACCAGGAAGCCAAAAGCCAATTAAAAATCCTGGCTGATCAAACAGCCTCCAGCCCCAGCTCTAGACGCCCACCTCCATCTCCTCGCCTCCAGACTCCCACACCCCTCCTCCAAAAGACCTTTGGGTTCTGTGGGAGTAGGGAGAGAGATGAGCAGGGCCACCCAGAACTTTCCAGAGTCAATCATTACGTTTACATGCACAGCTAAAGTCAAGCTACGGTTATAACTCGACTGCCATTTAATCGGACTACTGTCCTTGCTCCAGTATACATGCTTGGGAGGGGAATCGATTTATTGAGGGAACTTATGTTTGACTCCGTTACTATAGGTGATGTTATGGCTCCTTTCAGCTTGTTAGTTTTGGGCTTTTTCTGGTTGACCCATTACATTACAGATATAAAAAAAATATATAATAATATTAATAATAATGGATGCCTGGACAAATGAAGTGATGCAAGTTTTAATTGTGATCTAGTCGGAAGAACAGATACAACAAGATCAGGACAGGGTAACAAGAGATAAAGCATCTTGTATAAAATACTATGACAGCATATGTAATAAATATTGAGGTATTTATGAAACAAAAAAAAGGAGTTCAAAATGAATATCTCAGTAACCCGTCTACGAGTGATTTAAACAGCAAGGATGAAAATGATTTTGATTGTCTTGGAGAATGCAAGCAGCGCTCATGCAAAAAGCAGCGGATGTAAACTTTTAACTGATTTTACATATAACACACTAAATAATCTTGATAAGGAATAATCATTAAAATTGCAAAACTTGCTAGTTTTTTTTTCCTATGACAGAGCAAAAATATTTTAACGATACTTAAACTTCCTGCACTATAATATCCATACCAAAGTGAGATCTTAATCTAGCTGACTAATGATGTAAGAACTGAATGTACATAACATGCGATGTTAGTAATAATATGACACGTTGTCCAGTCCTGCTACAGACATTTTTTAAATTCAGTACAAAAAACCCATCTCATGTAGTGAAGTCATTCAGCGCCGGTACCAATTTTTATGTCAGTGGAAAACCAACACCTTGAAATACCGTACTTTTGGTTCCTTCTGGAAGTATCAAAAGTACGGCACCTGGTGCAGTGGAGAAGCATCCTTTAGTTGAGCAGTGAATTGGACAGCTTTACAGTGCTGTACAGTGCTTTACAGTGCTGTAAATTTCATATGTGCTATAAGTCCTCTGCTATGCTCCAAGCTTCTTCTGTGTACCGGTTTCTTCTGTTACTTCCAGGTCAATGCCTGGGGGGGGGGGGGGGGATTGTGGAGCATGCGCAGAGTGCCTAGGCCAGTTTGGGTCCGATGGAACGTATACATGCAGGAGGAAGTCGACTCCCAATTGCATTATCTGGGTGTCTTACTCCGACTTCGAGAAATTCGATTTAGTACAATTTCAGTCAGACTAACATGTTTACATTCACTTTACAAGTCCGGTTTTAGTCAAACTAACACAATGATTCGATTTTCTTAGTGTGCATGTAAACTATCTGAGTGATCTGTACCATTCAGCCGGGGTTCTGCCTCCATTTATGTCGACCCCCCCTCACCACCACCCAGCCTGCAGTGACATGTCGAAAGACCATCGTGACTCAGTCCTAGGTAGACTGATTCACAGGTGAGGAGTGTCATCTCTCCGAAGGGCATTTTCACTAGAGAACCAACCATGCCACCCTAATAAAACTGGAATGGTCCTGGAGATCTTTATGAAGAGATAGGCACAGGCTGACAGTGCCTTCAGAGAAGAGCGTGACCTTCTGCGCCACCTGCCGTGTCTCATGAGATGTGGTCACAAAAGCAAAAGAGGCTACAAGAGCAAAAATCCAGCCTTCAAAGCTTCAGTGGCTGTTCAGGAGCTAGACAACGCACGTGTCGGGCCAGGGGTGGCTTTGCAAATTCCCATGGCCGATCTTTAAAGAAATAATAATTTTATTCCTGTCAAAACATTTGTAGTGAGATTAAGCCAGGCTACTGCGGGCCACAGCTCAACATACATACGAAGTGTATAAAAAGGGCTCTGCCTAGCTGCCTGCTGAAGGGTGACAGGTACGAAGATAAAAGAAGGGGGTGATTAATGCCTTTCACTGTTCAGAGCCATATTTTGGCTAGATTCAGTCAAGGGCTCATCACCGCGAGGAGGGCGACCTGGTGGAGGCCTGTGTCATTCAGCTGAACCCAGCAACCCCCCTCCCCAGCTTAGAAGTGACTAAGCACTGTGGGGGCAGAAAGCGGAGGAGTATAAGACAGCCAGTGTTTTACTGGTGGGCCATTTGTATGCTGGAATGTGGAATACATTTTTTGAGGCTTTGATCTTTTAACAGAGTTTTGGGAAGGCTACTCCTGGTTACAGTGACCCCTGCAGGCGGGCTTTTGAATTATAGCTTGACAATATCAATGATTTTAAGCCTTATCCTTAGTAAATCTGAAAATCGCCTTCATGTACTTACACATCCTAAGCGTGCCGAAAGGAGAATACCATATAGCCCACACAGGTTTACCTTCTGGGCCAACCCCCATTCATCAAAAGACAAACAGCCATGATTCTAAAAACTGCACTTTATTATACAATAAAAAATTAAGAATTAATTTTTCTGTGGTTTCTTTGAGACACCCTGTTCTTTTCATATTATCTGAAAATGTGGAGAGTTGAATCTATGTGGTGACTAGAAAAATCATGTCAATTATCCAAATATAATTTATATATATATATATATATATATATACACACACACATAACCCAATGTGTTGTTAGTTTGCCTCTTGTGTTATATATAACATCCAATTCAACTTTATTTAAAAATGGTTTTACTTGTCATGCCTTAAGTTTAATGATTATTCTCATATTAGAATAAGCACTTGTTTTCTTACCAAAATAAACCTCCAGTGTTTACTCTTAAACAGTCTGAAATGAGTTGTGTGTACATGTTCCTCTGTGTTGTCATGAACACAGGGTATTGGATCCTACCCTGGTTTAAGTGGATGACGTGCTTCTAATCAACCTGTTCCTGTGATTTACCATAAAAGACACTTTCTGTACATCAGCAGGAAAATTGACAGCTGTTGCTTCATGTGACTCACTAATGAGGGCAATACAATAATATAACAAATAGTAACAATGTTTTTTGTAACTAAATATTTGAAAAACTATCAGATTCAGCAGCATACCAAAATAAACTACACAGCTGTGTGTTTTATAATGGTCATGGATTTTTTTCCCTCTCTTTTTAAACAATCAGTCAGCAACAGAATTGAAATATAAGCCTTATAATTGCATTTTTCAATCATTTAAAGTTGTTAGCTGTACATAAGGCTGAATGGAAAAAGCCCAGATGTGAAAGTGATAACTGAGGACAGTAGAGAAACAATGAACATACTATTACGTCCTTCACCTAACCCGTTATTGTGTTGAGGTGATTAAGTGATGACTGAAATTCAGATTGAAATGGGACAAGTTAATTGAATGTTTTGTAGTTAGCAGCAGTCGGCACCTTCTCGGAAGGCCGCTCGTGAATTACAGGCTGTGGTGAATTTAAAAGCGTGCCCCTGGGGAGAGGGGGGGGCAGGGCATCTTCAGCCGTGGTGCACTAGGACCTCGATGCACTCACTTGGATTGCAGACGCAGCCAGACGAAGCCCAAGCAGCACATCTGCTGACTTGGGAAGTGACAGTGTTCCCTCCACCGCAGAGCACTGCTTACTGACACATCCATCCATCTCCCAACCACTTATCCTGCTCAGCAGCACAGGTCACGAGGCTGGGGTACGCCAGCCCATCACAGGACACGGGGTTGGGGTACACCCTGAACGGGACGCCAGTCCATCACAGGACACGGGGCTGGGGTACGCCAGCCCATCACAGGACACGGGGTTGGGGTACACCCTGAACGGGACGCCAGTCCATCACAGGACACGGGGCTGGGGTATGCCCTGGACGGGACGCCAGCTATTTAGTACTCTCTCATTTCTGGATATGATATGACGACGACTAAATGTAAACATTACAAAACAAACACATATTCCTTACTTCACTTTAATTTTCAATTTCTATTTGATTATTCCCATATTCTGCATACTCTTCCACTTAATTCAGCCCAGCATTAACTAGTTACATAGGAGAATCATTTGTCATCTCTGTTTGACTAACGGTGAGGTGTTGAAGAGAATGTGTGTTTCTTATATAGCAGCCCTTCAAATAATCTTTGGGCATGTTCTTAAATCGTGCTGCAAATGTACTTTAAAAACTATAGTATGTCCATATGCTCAGTTATATTTGAAAACAAAATTAAATCATGTTACATATTCAATGTCATTGTTACGTTTCAAGTATTAAATTGTATTTTTTAAATTAAATAATTTCAATTCACAGTCATCTAGTTAGGCCTACTATAGGCACAATTTAAAAAATACACTTTTTTTCCAAGGTTATCTCTGTTCTGGAAGTTGCTTGTGAGAAAGGAGAAGTGAGTAAGAGAAATCAAAATGTATAGTTAGTTCTGATATTCAGAATAATTGTAAATTGCATATAAATTATAAATACATATTATATCTGAAAATCAAGTTTAATTTTTGAGTATTGATGCTCTTATTCTGTCATAATGATATGAAAAGAACTAATGTAGAGCAGCCGACACTGCTCCAAAAAACTGTAATTATTAAATAAAAATACAGTGTATATTAATA